GAAAGGTCGTGTAGAGCTGGGAGATGCCTCGTTTTAATCAGAAATTTATGGACTACAATTACGCCTCATTAAGAAAGCTTTTGGTTGTTCTTTAGAGTTTCTCGAAAACTGGTTTTCCAGAAGACCGATCTTTGAAGACCTAGCAGCAGCATCCATGGTGATATTCGGAATCAGCATCGTCGACTACCTATAGTCCACTCGGTTTCGTTGAAAAAGCGATTTATCAGTTGGAGTACTGAGAATTATTGAATTCATCAGAAACTCATGGCAATGTTTGATGCGTCTAAAGTGCTTGTAACTTTGTATCAGATTATAATGTTGGATCTTCTGTTGAATATGAATGTAATTTTGGCTATGAAATGATTGGACCAGGCCGTGCCTTTTGTATGTTACCTTTGTCATACATTAATGGCGGAAAATGTACCGGATATTACGAATGCACGTGTCCGGCAAACTGGGAAGGCTATCGTTGCAGTCGGCGAAAGCATACTTCAATATTATATCGTTTACGAAAATGATGGTATTAATTCTACTAGTTATATATTTTTGTACAAATAAGTCTTTACACTGATTTGTTAGAACTACTACTATCCATTTCAAAATACAAGGCAGTCCATTTTTTTTCGAGTAACTTGAGAATGGAATCAGGTAGGAGAGCTACAATTTTCAGATTATGAAAGAGAACATCCGGAGCCATAAGTCCCACACCTCCATCTACCATGATTCGGATACCACAGGTAACCTCCGAGGACCTACCTGTCGGCCAAAGCTGAGCTCTTGGAAGCTCAAAAACGCATGGTACATCGGCTATCAGGCACGCTGATTACTGTAGCAACGTTTGTCTTGTTATCCGGGTAAAGGAAACTGCAAAAGCCGGTTTTCTCAGAAAATACAACTTTTTCACTGTGACAATCCTAAAATAAAAACCTTATAGCGCCTTCATTTCTCAACCAAAGTACTTCAAAATTTTCAAAAAATAAAAAACTTAGTTTGTAGTACGTTTTTCGTTTGCTATGTAAAATTTTGACCTATAAACTGATTTTGCAGAGACCTTCTGAAAGATCGATTTCAGAAACTTGTTCAAAAAAACCTTTTTGCTTATGAAAATATAGGTTAAACTGTCCTCTTTCGACTGCCGAAAACCGGAAAAAAAACTGCTTTTCTTTGACATGGTGCTTTTCTTTTACTTTTACATTTTGGACTGTGTTCAGACCATGTTCCGTTGTTTAAACATACACACGCAGACTGCTTCCATCAACTAGACGATAGCCGGATAAACATCCAATATCACAAAGAGTACCAATAGTTGTCTCACAATAGCCTGATAGAAAATAACTATTGTCAGGTAAAAGTAGTGAATAGCATTACTAGAATAAAGACGAATTAGTTCTATTCTACTTATGTTTTATCAAAAATACCTTATCGATGGACTATTATTGTTCGTTTTAGAAATTGATCTTACAATTAGTAGCATGAACAACAAATATTTAAAACGGCTTTGATATTTCTATTTTGACCACATTAATATAAATTAGATCGAAGAATCATTTTGAACATAATCGGCTGTTTGCTGTCTCATTGTTTTTTCCCATTACAAACTGCAGTAGCACGGTGAATACTTACAAATATTGCAGAATAGAAGAAAGGAAAAAATCATTAGTTAGACTAAATGACTAATATGTTGAGAGAAGATCTGGTTAATGTCAACAAAATATAAATTGCCCATCTAACAATAACTGATATAAAACACATACACAATCGAATAGTTACATAAGATTAAATAAGACATACACATTTGAGTTTATAGAAACAAAACAATTAAAAATGTGTTTGAAGACTAGAATACAGGAGTAAGTTATTATTATCAGTTCCGTGCTAAAAAGTTGTTATAGATTCACTGAAGTTGTGTTGCTTAAAATCTCTTTTGATTCTTGGATGCAGCAGAAGAAATTGTCTTCTTAGTATTTGTAGATTTTTTCCATTCTCTTACGTCAGATTTTGTTGATTGTTTTTCCATTAGATTCTCCATACAATTCTCTACAAAACCATATATAATGTGCTCTGAAATCTTTCTAGATATATTTTTGTGTAAGATAAAACACAAAGACCTCCAAAAAATTATTTTGTTTAAACATGAGAAAGGTGATGGACCAACAATCAGTTACCAGTTCATGTTTACGTTCGGAATAATCAAGATTCAGCGATTATTTTCTATCCCTCAAGGATGACCCAGAAGTTCTATCGTCAAGCTTGTAGGGCTTTTGGTGTAAAAGTCATAACTCAATGAAAGAAGGTTGCGGATGGCTGCAGAATATCTCATTTTAAAGAGAAGTTTTTGCTCTATCTTACTGAATGATGGAAAAAATGTTTACATTAGGTTTTTAAAAAGTAGGATTCTGGAGATCCTGGATTTCTAAAAAACCTTTTTTTAAGCAGAATAAAATTAAGTTGAACTTTTTTGAATAATATATATACACAAATCGAAGTCAGCGCTGTACGAACCTATCCTCAGATTTATTGTAGCTACTAGGGTTCACGAGAAAGAACAAAAACAAGGTTGCCTCTAAACTTTTTTTGCTTACTTTATATATCCCATCTAATATAAAAGAAGCTGTTTGTCGTTTTCTACCCCATTATTTGAATTCATTATAGGTTAATAGATCAGATCGATAGCACATTCACTTATAGTATAATGATTTTTGAGATAATTTTTATTGCAAGTAGTATGTTTTAAGAACAAACACGATCCTGTAGTATAAAAAAACAGAACAGAAAAAAAATGAAAGAATAACAACAATCGACAGATAAAAAAAAGCCAAAAATGTGAATATGAATAATAAACAGCTCGATTGAAAATGAGCATATAAAAGAGAAATAACCACTGTTTTACTTTTTCTTTTCACAATATGCAAAACTAGGAAAAAATCGTTATTATAAGATTTCTTATATAACGTGGAAGATTCCCACACAATGATAATATACGTGTAGCAAAAAAATATATATTCACGCTTAAAACGAGTAAGCTCATTGAAAACCGGAAAAATTGAAGCTCAGTTATATAAGCTCATTTGAAAATGAGAAGAAAAAAAAAATACATAAAATCTGGCTTTGAAGCAATTTTGGCGTTATGCAATAGGTCCAAAACATTTAAACGTTGATACAATTTTCAATGTAGGATAAGCTCAATGATAATACTGATAGAACGATAGAAAATAGATATGCGATCGATATGAAAGAATAAAAAACTGAGAGAACAATTAAATCGTTTATATCAGATGAAGAAAAAAAAGAAAAAAAAATATGATAAATTAGATCATTTTCAAAGTTCATAGGTGAACAAATATTATTTTTATGGTGCACTACGATAAATTAATATTTAATATTGTACGTAAAAGTATGTTAAATTTCAATTGGTTTTGGATTTGGTTTTCTTATATGACGCATATTAGCACCCGGTTCACTTTAGAAAAAGAGAAAATGAAAGTGTAGTAACATATGAAAATTTGAAAGTTTTTTTTAATGAAGTAATTACCTTGGTTTAAATGGTGCATGTGCACCATAAGGTCTAGCCACTTGAATATCGACATCATCACCCGGTGCGTAGGCTTGTGGTCGAGGCTCTGCTTGTGTCATCACACCTCCAGGTAATAAGAAATGTTCAGTTTCACGTTCATTCTATACGTAATAAGAGTCATAAATAAGTATTGATACCAAAAGAGATAAATTACTAACTTGTTCACGTGTTTCTCTTTCATTTAGACGTCGTTTCTCTGTTTCAATAAATCTTTGCCATTCTTGAAATATTTCTGGACTCGGTGGTTCACCCTAAACAATAATGAATAAACTAGTAAAACATTTTCTCATGGATAATTTGAATGTTTTACTTGTTCCATTCTAACATAACATTGTTGAAGTTCAATATCTTTGCCATTTTTTTCTTGTTGTAATTTAAGTGCATCGCCTTGTTGAACTGATAATTCAGCGACAGTTGCCATCATTTTACGTGTAATATCTTTAATTTTATTTTGTAAATCATTTACCTAGACAAAAATAAACAACAAAATGACAAGTTCATAATTCTAAATTATATAAATAGTTTACTTTTTTAGCCAATGCTAATGTATCATCTTTTCCAGCTTCTGCTTTTGATGATAAACGTTCAATTAATCGACTAACTTGTTCCAAAATAAGATCTTTTTCCAATGATTGTTCTTCTTTAACAGCTAGACGACTTTCAAGCTAGAAAAGTTAAAGTTTAATATGAATAAAATAAAAGAAAATGATATGACTCTATTGTACCTGTTCTAATTTTTTCATTATAACTTCTGGTGAATCATCTTCGCCATCGAGAAATCGTACTCGTTCAGGATCACTTGGATTTTCTAACAGTTTTTCTAAATCAATTAAACGTTCTTGACATACTTCAAGCTAAAATGAAAAAATGAAATTTTTTTTAAATAACAAAAATAACCGTGTCACATTCAGAGTTGCCAGATGCTTAGATCAGAAAGTGGAATAAAAAGTCGAAAAAGCGGAAAAAAAGTGGAAACACATTTTTCACCGTATCAGTTCATTTTTTAACAAACGCAAAGGGTATTAAGGCCCTTCGCCCTTCGCCTCAGAAGTTATCTCTAATAGCGTACATCCGATCTTGACGAAACTTTCGTTTAGTGAGTTACGGGAATGAAAATTTTTTGTTGTCTCCAAGTCTTACGGTTTAGGAGTTTTCCAGAGATCAAGATCCAAAAAGGACCTTGAAGTTTTCTCAAGATTTTTTAACATACTTCAAGCTAGAGAGTTCGGATTTGTTTTATTTTAAACCATACACGTAACTACATGGTCTGACCGGCGCCGATCTTTCAATTAAACCTTTGTTGGTTTTCCAGGCAACCACGAACCTCTAAAACCCGAAAAATCCTTTCGAGTTTTCTAAAAATCCTCAGTTTGACAAAAACTAATTTAAAAATCGGCATCGGTCAGATTATACAGTTTCTTTTCCTCTTTAAAACAAAAAAAGAATAAACTCTCTACGACAAACCGCCATTTAAAATCTTGGGAAATACTTCAGGTGTAACTCTTATATAGGGAAAACGCTGTATAAAATGGTCAATTTTAGGACTTGTAGAAAAATGCCTGTAACTTTTTGATGCAAGGTCATACAGAGTTGTGCGAGGTCTTACTTTGATCAGAAAAGTTTGCTCTCCAAATCTGTGTGTTTAAAAAAATTTAATTGCATAAGTATCTAGGAAAAACCTATTATTTGTAGACCCGGTTTTCCGAGGCTCCTTCCGCTTCATAATGTTTCCACTTAAGAAATACAAAACATTATTTAAATTCCAATATGAATCGATATTGGCTTTGATTAATCAGCCGTCATAAATTTCAAGAGTTATGTATGACAGGATAACATTTAATTCGAAACTTTCCCACCTACGACAGGACTTAATGTTTAAGATTTTCTGACCGAGTTGACTTCCTTGAAGTTTTAGTATTCAACTCCCTTTCAACAGCACTTGAGACAAGCTAATGTTTTTCTGTTACCGCTCATTTCCGGGGGCAAATTTCTTGTGAGAAAAAGTAAAAATCTTCATTGCAGGAAAACGAACAAAAATCTCTCGAAAAGCGGACAACGGACACTTTGTAGAAAAAACTATAGACAACGGAATTTGACCGCAAAATGCGAACCATCTGACTATTCTGGTCACACATCTCTTAACTTACACATATTCTATACAATTCTAATTCTTGATCGAGTGCTCGTTTAACCGGTAATTTTTTTGAATATAATGTTATTTCACGTTTTTCTTCTTGTATTTGTAAATCTAAAAGTTTTAATTCATCCACTCGTCCAGATAATTCAATATCAGCATTTTTTATTTTATGATCTTGAACATTCACTTTTTCTTGAAATACAACTTCTTCATTATAACGTTCAATTAATTGTACACTTCTTTCATTTCTATCCAAAACGGCAACATCATAATCTTTTCGTAATCTTACAAGTTCTTTTTCAGCAAATGCAATTAAATTATTATAATTTCTATTTTCTAATGTTTGCTGTTGATCTTGTATATTTAATTCTCTTAAATATGATCGTTGTTTTTCTACACGTGTTTTTTCACGATCACGTTCAACAACGGACGCTAATACTAAAAGATTCTTTTTCTGTAAATCTCTAAAAAAAAGAAAAGAAAAGAAAAGAAAAATGTATAATTTAATCTCTAAATGAAAATAAATAAATAAAAGAATATACTTTTCTAAAATTGTTAATTTTGTACGTAATATTTCAATTTCATTTTGAAGAATTTTTAATTTTTCTTTCATTTCATTTGATTTTTGACTATTTATTTGAATTAAATTCACACATTTATTTCGTTCATTTTTAATAATATCATACATAGAGGCAAACTCTTTGAGTCTAAGATAAATATCATATTTATAAATTATAAAAATATCTTATTTATAAATCTTAATATATCAAAACTTACTTAAAATCTAAATCAGTAATTCGTTTTTGATGTTCATTTAATTCTCCTACTTTTCGTTGAAAATCTTCTTGAACTGCTTGTAAACGATTTTTTGCTTTCATTTTTTCTCGACATTTTTGTTCTTTTTCATTTGACTAAAATAACAGATCAATGTCAAATATATCTCATCTCTATTTTTTTTGTTTTTGCTCTGAAAACACATAAAAAAAGAAGAAAAAAAAAAAAAGATTAATGAATCGAATACATACAACAACAGACGCAAAATGGGCCATTGAAACAGCATCACGTCTATAATCACTTTGTTTTAATAATACTTCTTCATGTTCTTTTTGTGCCGTTATTAACATACTTTGTTTAACAATTATCTCTTTTTCCTTAAAAAAAAATATATATATATAGACTCAAAACAAAAGATTAATTAACATTACGTTAATACCTGTTTTTCATGATTTTTTGTTAAACTACCAATTTCCTCTTTTAAATGATCTTCTTTCGCTTCTAAATCGCCAACATCATTAGGCATTGCACCACGCTAAACAAAAACAAAATAAATCGTTTATAACATAGAATGAATAAAAAAACAAAAAAATGTATACCTTCATTTGTAATTTTTCAAATGTTAATGTAGCACTTGATAATTCATCTTTTGAATTTCTTAATTGTGCTTCAGCACGTTTTAATTCTCGTAGTAGACGTTCTTTTTGTTTTTGTAATTTTGAATGTTGTTCACGTAATTGTTTTCCACTTTGAATTGTACTTTTAACAGCTTCTGTTGATTGACGTCTAATATTAAACATTTGAAAATTAAGAAAGACGTTAGAATTCTGTTTTGTTTTTTTTTTCTATAAAAAAAAAGAAAGAAGAAGAAGCAATTCTTACTCATCTAATTGTCCTTTAGCTAATTTTGCTTCTTCAAATGCTGTTAAACTGAGAACATTTTTTATTTCTTCATCAAGTCGTTCATGTTGTTGTGATTGTTGATCTAATAATTTTGATTCTTTATTACTCAATGTTTTGAATTTTTCAATATCTTCTTTCAATCGTTGAAGAGTCATTGATTGTTCATTTAATTTTGTGTCAACATCTTCAATTTCACGTTCACATTGACTAGAATAGGAAAAAATTGTTTCAGTTTACATAAAAAGAAAAATTTCATATGAGATATCATTTTATAATGAAAAATAAAAAAAAAAAGATCAGGCACACTAAGCTAGCTAGCAATAAAATAAAAAATAAAAAAAAGCTTTAGTTTACTGTCTGCTCACATCCTTAGTTTTTTCGACGGCTGAAACGAAGTTAAGTGTAAAAAAAATTGTATCAATAATAAAGTTTACAAGTTAAAAACTTACTCTCTTTGTAATGACATTGTGTCTGCTTGTTTTAATAATTCACCGGGTTTTAATGTCACTTGAATGTATTCAGACTATAACAACAAAAAATTTACTTTTCATCAGATTTTTTGTAAAACAATGTGAAAATCAAATCATTTTGTTTTGGGATTTGAAGGATTTTATTATCACCATGAAATTATCTTCGATATGTTTGTCGAAATTTCTTACTTCTAATGTTTGTAAATTGTGTATTAATTCATCATATTGTTTACCGCTAACACCATATTTTTTTCGTTTATCGAGCAATTGGATTGATTGATCATTAATTTCGGACATTTTTTGTCCAATTTGTCGACGTAATTCATCACAATCTTTATTTAAATTATTTAATTCTTGATCAATATGATTTTGATTTGGAATACGAGAATATTCTTTTTCTAATGCTTTTTTATCTTCTTCCAAACTTAACAACAATAATAAAAAACAAAATCAGAGTAAAATTTTATAGATATTCTTTCATATATAGCGATACATACGCTTTAATTTTATATTCAAGATCAAATAGTCGTTCATTTGTGCACGCTAAATCATTACTATATTTTAAAAGATCTTTTCGTCTTTGTGATACTTCTGTTGTTAATTTATCGGGAAATGATTCGCCTTCTTCTAATACACGTTTCTGTCGTTCAATTTCAGATAAACAAAAATTTTCTTCTTGTCGTAATTTTGCTTCGGTTTTACGAGATCTAAAAATATAGAGATATGAAAACAAACTGGTTAGTCAAGATAATGCTAAAAATATTTACTGTTGAAGAGCATCTTGAAGCTCGATATATTTTGATTTGAGAAGAGCTACTTGAGTTCCTGTTAGTTTACCATCTTGAAAGAGCTAAACAAAATGAATAATCGAGTAATTTTAATATTGATGTGTAAAATTAGGACTCACTTCTTCTAGAGATTGAAACGCTGGTGTTGCAGAAAAATGTAATTGTTCATCATCTGGATCCACTTCAATAGGTGGTCGTGCTTCGATTCCATTTTCATCTTGCAAATCTTGTGATAGTTGTGAGATAACATCGATATCATCGGTTATAAATGCATTTGGTTGAATACCATCGTCTTCTAGATCATTTTCATCCACATCACTCATTGTAGTATCTTACCAAAAGAAACCTACAGATTTATTCGTTATCTCTATTGTCCCAGACAGAAAGTGTGTCTTAATTATGAATTATACAAGATAAAAAAATTTATCTAAAACAAAGCAGAGTGTACATTTACCTACAGTGAACGAAGAAACAGTTCTTATCTTAATTAGCAGCTGATTATACCTTGAAATCTACTTAACACATTGATCGTAGAAAAAACAATTTAAACAACGTAGTCTCACCATTTTTAATGTGAACGTCATAAGAACAACCCCTAATCTTATTGCTTTCTCGAATTCAGACGGTAATGCATTGCAAACGATGTCGCTCTGTACTATTAACGAGATTGTCAGCATTTGTGCAAATTACAGATAACCAAGTCTCTTTACATATTTTCTCGTTTTCTACATCATATGTAAATATACACATCTGTATGTTAGATCAAAATATATATTTCGGTTGAATTTTGCTAATAAGTGCTACTAATATTGCAGAGGGGTACTTCCGCACAGGTCCGCCCACTTTATACACGACTTAAAGCCGGGAAGGTCTGATTATATGCAATCGATAGTCCTACTAAAGGTATGGAA